ATTCAATATTTTAATTATGTTCCAAAAATGCCCGACAGTGCAATAACTATGCAATATTATTCACAAAGACTTGTTTCAAAAGTGAGGTCATGGAAGCAGTTGTTGACAATCTGAATCTGCCTAAACTTACTGTATTCAGATTACCTGTAGCTGAAAAAAATCAGATCAACTATCCATAGGGTTTGTTATATACATTATTTACTATTTAAATTATTGTTTATAGGTATACATGTTATACAGGTGAAATGATAAAAACTGCTAAAGGTGTCGAATGGCATAGCTAAAATTGTTATTCCTATGAAAAACTTCAGAACATATGTAAAGTAGCACAGTCTTATTTTTCACATATTTGTCATATATTAACACTATTAATATTTTGCTAACAACATTGATAAAAATAGTAATATTTAATAAATTATAAAAGTAGGATACATAGTAATATATTAGCTCTGAGTAGAAGACAAATTAAGGATGTTATCTGATGTAATCTCCTAAGATTTCAGTGAAGTCATAATATGTTGATACCAGATATTTTAAGGTATCTATATGGTCAACCTTTTATAACAATGCAGTAGATACTCCTAAGTCTCTTCTCAGCATTGAAATAATGCTATCAAAATATTGCTGAAGGAGGCATGCAAGTATCTGTTATGGGGTAAGTGACCTTACAAAATATAAAAATTAATATGAAAAATGAATGAGTTTAGTGAACAAAAGGCATATTTCAGAGTTTTGTTGAAAAGAGAAAAAGGAAAAGAGATTGTGAGAATAATGAGAAACTGCTGGCAGCTTTGTATATTCAGAATGCTTACTGCATTTAATCAGTAAAGGTTATTAAACTTTCATCTTGCTTTTTGTTCCTGTGCATGTATCATAACATTTCTATAATAATTTTAACAGTCTGCATATTTCTAAAGCAACAAAACTAATTGAGCAGCAGTGACTACCCTTTGCTATTTAATGAACTGCATATGTTAGACACTAGCTAAGCCCAAGAGTCACAAGGCACAAACCCTGAAGAATCAAGAGGACAGTGAGCCCTGGGAGGAGCTTTGGGATAAGAGGTAGTAGGTCTAGACCCTCAGAGATCCCTGAAGGACATCCTAGGGTCCTTCCTGGCAATGTCCTTAGAGACCTGCTGCTCTTCAGGTCATCTGTCAATATTGCCCTCAGCATCCTTTCCTGGATAGTTTCCTCCCACAGCTGAGTATTAGGAACCATCATGACCTTGAAGCTCATGATGACAGATCACCAAGAAGGGATGTGAAAGTATAGCTTCAGCTTGGCTTCTGAGCTGCAAGCAACTCATGAGCCATGGGTTGGCCTCCCAGTAACACGGGAGTAGGTGTTCCACTGCCGTAACTCACTGTGGCTGTCAGTGGCACATTGGCATCTTTCACCCAATATGTCAGTTTGCATTTTCAAATCTACAATTACATTGGTAGAATTTAGGGCAGAAGTTACCTCTTTTACCTCAATTCACCTCCGAGTTAGTGATGTACTGTAATGTAGGTGGGCTAAGCTCCCCCAGTGTCACTGCAAGACACCAGAAAGTGATACATCCCATTCTACGATAAGTATCTGGGACTTTGTGGCACCTTTGTGGGTACTTCCACCTCTCTAGAGGAAGCCTAGAAAAATAGCTTGGGCCAAATGCTTAAGTTAGAGATGTATAAAGTCAGGCTAGATTAATATCATGAACTATGTCTTTTAAAAACAAAGTTCTGTCAAGGTTTTCCTGCTAATACCGTTGTTACAACAACAACAGCAAAGCAGATTTATCAAGCTACCTACTTTGCATTTGTGTCAATGCTCCTGGCAAAATGAAATTAGTTCTGTTCAGCTGTGTCTTTGGCACTGCACATCTTTGGCAGGGGGCTCCTAACAACACATGGGGATTCTTTTAGCTTCAGGGAGAGGAGTCTTTGTTTTTTAGGACAGAAAACTCGAGCTCATTTCAGGAAGCATTGTGAGGTTTTGAAGCGGCCATGGTGTGCAATATAATTAGTTACTTTGAGGTGACAGATTTGTTATAATTCGTAAAACTGGTTCCAACTGTGACAATGCAGTAAACAGTACTACCCACAGAAGTATGTCTACATGTGCACTGAAATATTTAAAAGATCAAGCCTTTGATCCTAATTTTACAAAACCCCCCTTTCCTCCTTCCAGCTGGAACTACTTCCCACCATGCCTCCCAGCTCTGACAGTATCCAGCAGGACATGCTCCTCTCTCACATGTGGCATTCCCAAGAAGTGCTATTAAATAGAAATTGCTTACAAAGAAGGTGTTAGTATTTATAGGAAACTAGGAACTGCCTAAAAAATTCTACAGATGTAATTGTATCTATTTTATCATCTTGCCCTGATAGATAAAAATAGGAATGACAATATCTAGGGTGTCCTTCCCATTAGTCAAACTATGGTGATGACTAATGCAGCCAAATGAATGTCAGTAAAGCCTACCTACCACATCATGCTTCAGAAACTCTCTTGGCACTCTTTTTAAGAGAGAAGGCACAAAAGCATAAAGGTTGAATCTGCATGTATTCGAAATTACTACATTATTTGTGAGGCAAAGATTCAAATAAGGTATATTAGTTGCTCCAAACGTCTCAGTAAAACTTATCTCTGCCTATATTTTGCAGATTGTAACCTCTTAGAAAAAAAAAAAGCCAAAATCAACCCCCCCCAAGTATTACAGAAAATTTGGTGAATGTTATGCTTTCAATTTGAGAAATCAGGTTGGTTTAGTACCAAAGGCCCAAATATATTAGTCAAAGACAAAAAAAAAAAAAAAAGAGAAACTCTATGGTACCAGGAGCCTTTGGCAAGGGATCTGAAGAAACTCTTCTGGAAATCATAATGTATAAAGGTCATTGGATCACATGAGTTTAACATCTTACTGCCTGCTGTTAGCCTCAGAAGAAACTTGTGTCCTTCTGAAAGCTTGAGTGATCAGCCTTCAGTACGGTGCAATGCTGTCATGACTCTGTTTCCCACTCCTGCATCTCAGGCCAGTCTAGTTCTGGAACAAAACCCTCTTTCCAGCATGCAGAAAAAGTATTTTTGGGCTGGATTATTAGTGGTGTCTTACGTTCTTTATTACAGTAGCTATTTGAAACTGTAAGAGGTCTTAAGCCTGAGAGCAAGTGCCAGAGCTGATGTACCAACAAACAGTTACAAATTAGATGAAGGGGTGAAGACTTTTTACTAGGAATCTTTTCTCTAATTTTGTGGGTCTTTATTTCTGATGTTAATGCTATGCACCAACAAAGATGGAGAGGCTGGTACATAATGTTGTATTTTAAGCAAAGGTACAGTTGCAAAAAAAACCCTAGTGATTTCCCTTAAAATAAGGGGCACTGAAATAGTAGTGCAGTGACATTCTCGTGATACTAACCTTCAATCTCTTGCCCAAAGCAAATAAGGAGCTTCACTTGCTTTTTTAAACATGGACATGGAAAACCATATATTCCTGATTAAGAAGGGGGAAAAAAATGACTAAGTAATCCCAGGGCTCCAAGGAGCTATTCACAAACTTAATGTTAAGATGTAATCTGGTGATTATGTAATAATTTCCCCTCTCTGCCCATTCTAGAGTGGATATGAGATACTACAGTCTACATGCCTGGTCTTGAATGTTTAGTTCCAGGTGTGAGAGCTCATTGCAATATAACATTCCAGAGAAAACAGAAGTCATATCGAGAAAGGACTAATGTACATATTCTGGGGGAGACAGGTCCTAATTCAAAGGATAAGCAACAGAAGGTGCTGTGTTACTCCACTCAGGGTTAGGCTCTAGGAGCTGTGTGGAAGTTGGCAGACACAATTAACAAGCCTGAAATAACAATTGCCTTCAGAGCCAGCAAGAAGTAAAAAGCAGGGGAGGGGCCCTCAAGTAGGAGAAGTAAAATAACTGCAACAATAGAAGGATAAATCCAATCTCACCTAAAAACACCGATAACCCATCTGAGACCTGGACATGAAATCGACATGCTAATATTAAGGAACACAGGCCACAGGAGACACTCTAAACAACGTGTTTGGAAAGCTTCATGGAAGAAAATCAGTGATAGGCTTTTCTGTGGAATACGTGCCAGCTCCTGCTGCACACAGTAGTCAGAAGGGGACTCCATAAAGAGTGAACATTTACGTCTATCAAGATGTGGAGGAAAAAAAGAAAAGTCCAAGCACGCTGTTATTCTGTCCACTGCAAGTCCTTTGAAGCACTGACATGGTGGCCTACTGTCTTTCCAAATCCTGCCTACACATAACTTCCTAATAGACCTAAAAATGACTGATATATCACAGTATAGACAGACAGATTTTACAAACTGATATCCAAGATAGTCGCAGACAGATAAAGCGTGCATGCAAAGCAAGTCTGACACGTCAGATTCACAGCATATGCAATATTGTCGTGCTGTATATGCTCAGAGAAGTTGCACAGTAAGTACCAGTCTGGCATCACACTTCTTGCACATGCATGTTTTATCTGCCCATACAGGGAAGTCTGAGTTCTCCCAGTACATGGTGTCCTGCACATCCAGAAAGACACCTATGGCAACAGAAATACAGGCAAAACCATGCCAGGTATTCTCTTCTATGAGAAATTGCATTGTCTACATAATAACATGTATTAAACAGGACGTTCTGTACCACATGGGATTCTCAGCACTTTTGGACATTTATCTCTGTGACCACACCATGCTGTGATTGCCCAGGAGAGTGCAAAGGTCGACATTAGTGTATGTACATGAATTTGGTGGACAGAAGACACAGTGTGATTACCTAATATTTAATTAGGTTGCAACAATAGCACTACTGCCCTTATCCTTGCCATGTGAGCTCATCTACAAGGCAACACGATGACGCTACTGACGCTTTGGGACGTAGTATCAGTAACCCCCGAGACATGACAATACAGTTCCCCCCATACCTCAAGGATTCTTCCAGGAATTGTGTTTATAATCACAGCAAAATTAAAGTTGATTTACCTTCTGCTCCAAACAGGGCTATCTTCAAAGCTAAACTAGGTTGCTTAAAACCTTATCCAGCCTAGTTTTATCTTCATGGATGGAAAGTCCACAGCCATTCTGGGAAAGTGTTCCACTACTTGACCACTCTTACTTTGAACTTTTGTTTTCTTATACACAATTGAAATATCTTTGGGTGCAACTTCTCTCTTTTGTCTGTTGTTCTGTTGGTGCTCATCTCAGAGAGAAGCCTTGTGCCGTCTTCCCTATAATTCCCCCTGGGAAGGTGAACACTGTAATTAGATCCTGGTGTAGCCAAACCCACTTCCTCACACAGGACGTGCTCCAGCCCCAACCACCTCACCAGCCTCCACTGACCTGGCTGCTGCTGGAGGAGCCCAAGCTGGACAGTGGGTATCCAATGTGGCCTCACAGTGCTGCACAGAGGACACATATCTGCTGGATATATCCATAATGCAGCCCTCTAGGTGTGATGGCCAGGCCCCTTTCTGCTGGGCTACTCCCAAGGCAGTTGGTTCTCAGCCTGTAACGTTCTATAAGGATAGTCTGTCCCACATTCAGGACTTTGGACTTGGCTCTGTTGACCAACACAAGGCTCTCACTGGCCCACTCCCACAGCTTGCCAAGGCTACTCTGAATGGCATGTGTGGCCTCCAGCATATCAACTGATCCCCCCAGCTTGCCATGGAGATGAGCTGAAAACTTGCTGAGGGTGCGTTCTGTCCCACCCACTGAGTGGTGAATATATCAAACAGGATTTGCTCCAGTATTGATCCCTAATCCCTCCCAGCTGGGCATCAGTCAGACTTCAAACCAATGAGACAATGCCCTTCAAGCCTGGTGGTACAGCCAGTTTTTTCACACACATAGTCTGCCCACCCCATCCACATCTTGCCACTTATAAAGTTATTGAGGAAGTCTACCAAAAGCCTTAATAAAGACAAACTTAAATGGCATACTCCACTCTCCCCTTGATCGCCAAGCCCAAAATCAGTGATATAGAGCCAGACACAACTGAACTTAAACGTGTAACATTTTCCTTTTCTTCATTCATCTACAGTCTTCCAAACACCACGGCCTTTCAAATGACACAGGGGGTGAGCACACAGTAACACTGGCCAGCTCCCTCAACACTCATATCCAGGCCATCTGGTCCAGTGGACTTGTATATGCCCAGCTTGATAGAGTGGACTTTCTGTGAGTAGTCTCCTTCCCACCCTAAACCCTGAACAAGCCACAGAAGCTTGGGAGATGTGGAAAGCCCAAGCCCAGTAAAACCCAAGGTGAAGGAGTCCTTCAGCCTTTTCCTTGACCTTTATGGGCAGTTCAATGACCCAATTCTGCAGCAGGCCCACATTTTCCCTTCTCTTCCTTTTGCTGCTGATTCACCTGTGAATGGTCTTTTTGTTGCCCTTCATGTTGGCTCTCAGTTGCAACTCCAGCCAAGTTTTGGCTTTCCATATTCTACTCCTCTACTTAAGTATCGACCATCCTCTGCATGAAGTGATGGAATCTCAGACCAGTATAATTTGCTTATTATCTGTTGAATGCTTTCTAGAAATGCTGTTTAAGGAAGGTGGTTGTCTTTCATCCATATCTCATCTTTTGGTAGTTCCAAGCATATCCAGGTGCTTGTTCAAATATTTATTTAGCTGGTACTGCGGAAAATGCCATTGTTCTAAATTATTCTTTCTTCCTTTGTTCTTTGTTGTTAGTTGGTTTGCTTCCAGTAACCTCAAATTTGGTGCAGAAGCATAGGAAAAGGAAAAGTATACACACATCCACACCTGATAGGAGGGAATCAAATGATTAATTACCTTCATCATGGAGCTTTGACTGCTAAACCATCTCTCCAGGAGTTTCTCTAATATTTTGTAATATTTCAGCTCTGCTGAAGCAACCTCACAAGATTATTATCAAATAACCCAAGCCCTTAATGAGAGTTCCTTCTTATTATTCAGAATCTGGACTTTCTGACCCATCCTCCTCTAAGGCAAAATGGAGAAGAAAAACAAAAGAGAGAGAGAAATTAGCCAAAGTTTTATTAGTTATAGTCAGGCCATAAATGATAAATTGAAGGGTTTTTTTTCTTTTTTAACATTCCAAGCCTGGAAAATGGAAGCGTTTCTTGCTGTTCAAGCATTTGTATTTAGTCTAGAATGTTCCAAGACACTTTTCTTACACTTAAAGATATCACTTGTTCAACATATTCTACATTGGTCACTTCACTGGTTGTTTTTGATAGGGAGTGATGGGTCTCTTCAGTTTTCTAAACTGCCAAAATAACTAAGAAGTGTTTCTGCAACATTTTTCAATTAAAGATGTGGCTGTCTATAATAGGAAGTGGTTTGAATTACAATAATGTCAGAATTGTACACATTCTGAATAGTTATGTATTATGCCTCTACTTCAGTAACTTTGCTGATATTACAACAACTGTATGTAAGTTTGCCAAAATTTGTCTTTAAAATTCCTCTTCTGAGTGTTTTTAAGTTTGTCACCTGTTACAGCTGAATTGTTGCATTTATTCTCTACTTTTGGGAAACTCTGAAGATGCTTGAATATGATGAATGCATACTTATGTTATTATAATAGAGTCATCTGTCACAAGTGTATTTACCAGTTCATTTGTCTAATTGCTCAAAAAGCTGCACACTTATTTGGATTATTAAATCTGCCTTCTCTCTTACGGGTGTGGAATAGAATCAGGATCCAAATCAGGGCTTAGCTGATGGAAGACTGACAAAGCAGGGTGCCATTACCCCTTTCCTGAGTCTCTATTTCCTTACTGCAGCACAAGGAGGAAAGTCTGCTAGCCAGAGACCTATCTCTCAAGATTCTCTCCTGCTGACTAGGAAAAGCCCAGGAGAAGGAAAAGCTCTTCCCTATGACTAGGAAAGCCATAGGTGACAAAGGAGGACAGCAGGAGAAACTGCTCCAGGAACTTTACACACATGGGCTAAGATCTGGCTGAGGCATGCTCTTCACATGTGGGATTCTGAATCATTCCCCTTCTACACCTTTCTGTCACCTGGGATCCCAAGAAACTTTCAGATGTCTCATCCCAGCTCCCTCTGGCACAGGAGCCGGGGTCTGTACCATCCAAACAATACTGAGTTTCTTCCTCCAGCTCTTCGCGTTTGTGCTGGGATATCTCCTCCCAGAAGGAAGGAGAATATGTGTGTGAGAGGTGTGGGGGGGAGAACTTTCAATAAAATTAGTACGTACCTCTTAAAGATTATCTTTTAGGTTCTTTTCAGCCCCAAACACTACTCTTACTCCTTGAGAGTATTTAATTGAAATGAGAGAGGGAAACTGCAACCCTGTGAGACCCTTTTCTACCACAGCTGGGTATACAGAGCCACTTGCCCATATGACATTACCCAGCTACAGCAAAGGGATTCTGCATTTCTTATGTCACAGACATACTCTACACAGATTCATCAAGACAGACACTAGCGTGTGGGAACAGCAGGGCACATGCAGGTAGCAAAAGCAGTGACTGACTAGGGAAGGCCAGGCTCTGCAGGCAATGTGAGAGCAGTGTGGCAGGGCCAGCAGCTGGAGGGACAGTGGCACCAACTGGTACAGCAGGAAGGGGTTTCTACCTCCCCATTCCGCCCCGAACACTGTGGCACAGGGCAGGAAAGGATGATGAGCAACTTTACCTTCCTGAAACCTAGTCTTGATCTTTAGAGTTCACTTTCAGGTGCTTTCACAGGGTCTGTGCTGCTCTCTGTAGTGTTCCTGTCATCTTTACCCAAGCTTTTGAATTACAGATTAAGTGATGACATCTGGGAGGACCAAGGAAGAACTCAGGAATGCTGAAAAGATAAAGCAGTGGAGATGAGAGGATAAATAGCAGTGGTGAAGCGGCTAAAACACAAGCATTGTCTTCTCCAGCAACGGTGGGTGAACTAAAGAACACAAAATCAACCTCTCCAGAAGACCAATGTTGAATTTACCCCTACAGCCACACCTGGGCAGAGGTCAACAACAAATCTCTTTCCAACCTCTCCCTCCAGTGTAAGATCACTTTGGCTGTTATCAGCCAAATACCTTCTAAGGCCTCTAAACAGGGCCAAGGTATCTGCTTCAACTGGCCAGGCCTCCACATGGTCTCATTTCCTCCTCTGGTTTCAAGTCTTTCATGGATTTTGTCCCTTCACAGACTTCTCCACAGGTCTTGAGCCTGTGGTCTCCCTCAGTTAGAGTTCTTCAAAGTTCCACTCGAAAGAAAGTGCTATTGTCCATACTTCCTAGTTTAACCTAAGTTGGTGCTCCTAAAACCTCAGCTTCTAAAGGGGAAGATGATTAGATGTTAATCTCAGCTTTCATTGAGAAAAAAAAAAGTGTTGTTATTTCCCTTTGGGTTTTGGAGAAAAGCTTGAGCATACCAAAGATAAAAATTACAGGCTCTAAATCAAGTAACGTACAATGTATTATTTCAAGATGCTATTTTTAAAGATGAAGACTTCACTCGTCTCATGACTTTTGACCAGAGACTTGGCTCAGGTTTTGAGTTTGCCTTCCATCACACAGGAAGGACAGCAGGGAGACCTCAGAGCAGAGTCCGGGACCCCAAAATTCCCAGTGTCTTCCAATAGCCTGTCCTGACAAATGTGCCCCAACTCTCAACATTCCTGAAAGATTTACAGCAAAACTGCCATTTCCCCCCTCTTTTCATGCCCGTGCACGCAGTGACTGGGACAGACAAGACCAGTAGCAGGTCTGAAATCCTCCAGTAACCAACTTGGGCAACACCAGGATGTGACTTCATTGAGCATTTCCCTTTCTTTTAAAAAATGCAAACACAGAATCATAAGTTGGAAGGGACCCTAAAGATCATCTAGCCTCAACCCCCTCTGCCATGGGCTGGGGCACCTCCCACTTCATCAGGCTGCTCAAGGCCTTATGCAACCTGTCTATGAACACTTCCAGGGCTGCGGCATCCACAACCTCCCTGGGCAACCTGTGCCAGTGTCTCACTACCCTCACAGTAAAGAATTTCTTACGAACACCTAACCTAAATGTTCCCTGTTTCAATTTGTACCCATTTCTCCTCGTCCAAATTGCACCAGGAAATCACCCGTTGCCGGAAAGTGCCCGGTCACCTGCCCCGGGTGAGACAGGGACGGCCGGTCCCACCGGGACACGTCGGGGCGGTGGGCGCCCCCCGCGCCTCCTGCCCGCCCACCTTCGCACCTCTCCCGCCCCAGGGCCGCCGGGCGCGGGGACACGCCGGGAACACACCCGGGACCCCCGGGACCCCCTCGGGCACGACGCCCACGGCCCCCACAGGCGCCGGGGGACCCCGGGCGGGCGGGCGGCCACCCGGGCGCTGCCGGCGGGGCGTCCCTGTGCCCCTCGGGAGCCGCCCCGCCACCGCCCCCCGGCAGCCGTGGGGCCGTGCCCACCGCGGCCCCGGGCGGCGGAAGTGTGTGTAGGGGGCAGTGCAGGAATTTCCTGTGACGTCCCGGCCCGGACTCCATTAGGTGCAGCTGGGCTGAGAGGAGACAAACCCGGCGGGCAGCGAGCGGAGCGGGCCGGGCGCCTGGGGCTGCCGGGCGGGGGCTCAGGGCAGCGGCGGCCGCCATCGCCAGAGGGAGCCCCGAGCGGGCGGCGGCGCTGCCTCCGGGACCCCCGGCGGGCGCAGGGCCCCGCTCCGCCTCCCCTCGCCCCCGCCGCCTCCCCCTCCTCGCCCCCCCGGCTTCCCACCACGGCCGCTCTCGGCGAGGAAACTCTGGCCTCCGCTTCCTCCTCCTCCGACTCGGACACCGGCGGAGCCTCCCCGCCCCCGCGGAAGAAAGCCCGGGCCTCCCCGGCGGCGGCGGTGGAGGGAGCAGGAGAGCCCGGGGCGTCCGCGGGCAGAGCAGGCCTCACCTCGTCCCAGTCCCCCTCGCTGCCCGCCGGGCTCGCCCCCACCGCCGCCCCGCTCAGAGGCAGCAGCAGCAGCGGCGGCATCGCCAGCAGCGCCATGCAGGCCAACGGGGCGGGAGGGGGCCAGCAGCAGCAGCAGCCGCCGCCGCAGGGCCCGGAGCTGGGCTGCCTGGGCGCCCAGAACGGCGAGGCCTCGGCGGGCACGGCCGCCGGCGACCAGCTGGCCCACGCCAACGGGCTGCTGCCCTCGGCCAACAGCGGCGGCCCCGGCGGCGGCAGCCCCGGCGGGCTCGGCGTCAACAACGGGGTGCCCGCCGCCGGGGGGCCCGGCCCGGCCGCCGCCGAGCTGGGGGGGAGCGGCGGCGGCGGCAGCGCCCTGAAGAAGAAGAAGCGGCTCTCGCAGTCCGACGAGGACGTGATCCGGCTGATCGGGCAGCACCTGCACGGGCTGGGGCTCAAGTAAGTGGCCGCGGTGGGCGAGGGACAGCGCGGCCGGAGCGGCGGGGGGGAGGCTCCTTCCGTCCTTCCTTCCTTGGCCGGGGCGCCCCGACCGACCGACCGAAGGGTCCCCTCGGGGCCGGGGGAGTCCCGCACACACGCTCCCCGTCCTCCCCTTGTGTTCGCGGGGAGGGTCCTGCGCGGGGTCCCCGCGGAGGATGGGCTGCCCGGAGCGGGGAGCAGAGGCGAGGGGAGGGAAAAGGGACCTCCGGAGCGGGGGTTGGTGGCCAGAGCTGCCCTGTCGCAGCTTGGTAGTCCGCAAAGATGGGAGAGCAGTGCCCGGGTGTGAGGCAGAGCCGTGGGGCAGGCCCGCTCCTGGAAAAAAATGGAGCCGGAGATGTGTTTTCCAAGCCTGGGCCGGTGCCTTTGCGAAGCGGCAGGACGGGAGCTTCCCCTGCCAGGAATGGCAATATGGAAGTCGAGTTGCACACCGATAAGGGTAGATCAATACAAATGTGTCAGTGGGGGAGAAGTTATCTGGTAAACATAATGGAGCCCGCAGCTGGGTGTGGGGGGGCGGCTTTTCGCAGATGAGCTCCAAGATTTGGCTTGTCAGCTCACAGGAAGCGAGCACAAAGTAAACTGCCACTTAAAGAGGCTGTTTGGTCTCACTCTGAAAACCTTTGGCCCTGTAAATGGTGAAGGCCTCTGTAGATTTGTGCTGGACACGTGTTCTTGGTAATAATTTCACTTGTAAACAACAAACGAATATGTTGGCCATTTCTTAAAATCAGAATTAGGAAAATGATTTCCCAGTGGAGTAAGGGAAGTCTTAAGTATTTAATCACAACACTCACTTTGTGAGTAAAACTAAAGCTAGCATGTCATAATTTTGGAAGGAGGCTAGAAAAGTCCCGTGAAGTGTTTATGTAGCTACCACAAAAGAAATCTTCAAAACACTGCGGAATGGGTCAGCTATAAAGAACTTATCCCATAAAATAAATTGCCTCTGACACAAGAGGCAAGTTTACAGCAGCAGACAACTCGTGACTATTCATAGACGACACCACAGTAAATAAGCTATTTTTAGTATAAAAGGGGGAGGGCTACAGGTTCATGAGTTTGTTTATTTTTTTTTAAGGAGCCAGTCTTTTAAGATGTGAGGAAGAAGAAAAAATCAGGCCTGTGACAGATGTCGTAGCTTTCTGTGTTCTTTTATGGGGGGGGGAGGCAGGGAGGGGTCCAGGGATAGCAACCAATAGCTAACAGCTTTCTAGTCTGTATCTTCCTTCATGAAGTTTATCTTCTATGCAGGGATGGCTGTGGTGGCTGGTAAGTCACAGACTTCATGGTACTTCAGCGAAGCTTTCAAGCTCATTGACAACTTGCTTTAGGTAGAGGTAGCTGTTTACCTGTCTCAGACAACTGAGATCCTCTCTCTGAACAAGCATCTGAATCTGGTCATAGTGTTCTTGTTTTCTTAAATTGACTTTAAAATATAGTAAACTGTTATCATAGCAGGCGGTGTATTTGTGAGGGTAAAACTGGTCGGGTTTTTTTACACTGTATCTCTCCTGCAGCCAGACTGTTGATCTCCTCATGCAAGAGTCAGGATGTCGTTTAGAACATCCTTCTGCTACCAAATTCCGCAATCATGTCATGGAAGGAGAATGGGATAAGGTAACGTAGGGCTTATAGGACTGTATTAACCACTGTTTAAATTTATAGTATCTGTGAGAGAATTCAAAATCCACCCTCCTTATATACTTTTTTTTTTCTTATACCGATTTCTGCAGGCTGAGAACGACCTGAATGAACTTAAGGCCTTAGTGCATTCTCCGCATGCAATTGTGGTAAGAGGCACACTTGAACTCTTTCAGAGCTGTGTAGTTGAACTAATTGTAGTGGTGTAATCTCTCACTATGGAGTTGGTTGTCCATAGTTCTTGTTGTTTTGGTTTTTTTTGTTTACTTTAAGCTACTTGCATGCTATCTCATATGTCATACTAATCTGAACTTTTTTTATTCTGTTTTAGAACGTGAGATAGGCAGCCCAAAAGTACTGGGGCTAAGATCTAGTGTACTGAATGTTTAAACTCTGTTAAACATACCTAACTGATAAAATATAAATCCTGTCACTATCCTAATTTGAATACTTGAAATACTTCTCACAATCTCTGTGTTTATAGGAGTTAAGTTTTCTTGGGGGAAGAGAAGTTTAGAAATAAAATGCAGTAATACTAATGTGGAGTTGGCTTTGTAATAGCACATTACAAGAATATAGAGGCTGCTATACACTATGAACAATACTGTTGCTTTTCCAGATGGCTTTTAAAGAGCAAATGCATTTGTATTGCTGTTTGGGATTTTATTTACAGCTTTTTCTCTTTGGCTGGCCTTTTTTTCCTTTTTTAAAAAAGATAAATCTAGAAATAGAAGGTTGGTAGATCCTGTGACTTAACAATTACGATATGTGTTGTTATGATTTCAGTTGCTTTGAGTGAAGTGTTTCTTGATTTGATTTTTGTATCTCAAGATGAAAATCATTACTTGGCTCTTCAAACAGCTCGTTCTGTTGTGTTTAAACGTTTATTTTAATGAAATGAAGTTAGAACAGCTAAGGTCACTTAGGAAGAAAACAGTAGCAAGTCTTTTTGAAGTGTCTGTGACTGTAAACAATGAGGAATCAGCTGATGGCTGCTTAGTTCCACTTCTAGCTGATTCATTTGTTGTCAAGACAATTTCCTGTCTGGTGGGGGAGGGAGAGAAAGAGAGAACAGGAAGTGAAGTAGGAAAACAGATGTTTAACAAAACATCAGAGGGTACTTGACAGAAGTTTGCACTCTTTTCTATTAATTCGGTCAAACCTTAGCACCTCCTAATTAGACCGGTGCTTTCTCTTTTCTCAGACTTGAAATAGTTTAGAATATTGCATGCAGCTTTCAATTGTTTGTGCGGACTGAAATTATGAAGCTGCTGTATGTGAATATGAATGGCCATTTGAAACAGATTTTCTCATGTTTCTGACATGTGAAGCTATGAAGTTTATCTGTAGTATTAGTGTTTTGCCTGTCTGTGAGTCAAGGTTTAACTGACTATGAGCACTGTACTTTTTGGATAACTGAATTTGAGGAAAAAGGGTATGTTTTCCTTCTGTTGTTTTGGAGGGCTCTGAAAGCGTACTCTTCTTTAATGTTGATGTCTAACTGCTTCCAGAAAACTTGATGCAATAAAAATACTTGGTTTAGACTGAACTTTACCTGAACCAAATATTAACTGGGTTTTTTTTTTTCGAAGTTGTTCTCCTTTATATAAACTTCATATAGTTTAGAACAGGTAACAGTTTTAAATATCTTACATGTGTGTGCATGTTAGTAAGACAACATGACTTGCAATGTTAAGTTGAGCTCGTGTGCATTCCATTGTGTGCACTCTGTCTCTGCCTTCCTCCCTGTCCAGCTTTTTGTACATGGTTGAGGTTGGGGTAGGTATTAGTGTAATCAGCAGCTGGAAGACTAATGAAAGACCCTCAGGTTAAGGTAAGGAGGGATGCTTTGTGCTGTGTAGGTAATCCAAATGCAGTCAAGTCAGAGCTAATGAAGGTGATAAATGTGTTGATCAGGGAAAGTCCAAGCAAGATGCTGCTGCAGGTAACTCTAAAATGGAAAATTAGATTTTGTGTTTCCTGACTCCTGACTTGTGACTCACGCTGTATGACTAGATGTTTCA